AATGGATCCCTGCCTGCACCTCCCTACAAACTTTGCGTCTGCAACATGGCTCACTTATTGGCCTTGTAATTGTTTGTTTAAATGTAGTTGTAATAAAAGGGTATATAAAGGGGTAAATGACTTGCTTTTCACATTATGCCGGTGGTACAGATGATGGACACTTCGAGACCAGATAGCTCTAGCAATGGTGAGAGCAAGAACCAAACTGCGGAGAATGATACTACTGGTGCTAATCAGGCTTTGGCTATGGGTCCTGAGGACCCTATTAAGTTTGGCCAGGGCGTTTATAGCACGACATTTAGGAAAAGACTCCACGTCACCATTCCCGGACAAGGGAACGGCGGATGCGCAAAAGCCATCCTCCTAAACACGTTCTTCCTAGAGCCCTTCCTATACTACTTAAACGAGAAGAAGGAGCCTAAGCTATCTTCACTGTGGCCCAGGGCTCTATCGTTTCCCTACATGATGTTCGGGGATTTAAGCATACACATCTCACGGTTCGTGCCGTTGATGAAGACCACTACCACGACAGCAGTTGTTAACGATCAGGTGCAATTCCAGGTCTCGCCGTATATGCTGATATGTATCAGTAATAAGAATAGGCACAATAGCCTTATCCCATGCAAACTTGATCAAAAGATTAAGAATATGGAGGGCACTACCAACAGCGGCTGGAAGATAGCCAACAGTGACCTCTTACAATGGCCAGTGGTGAAAACAATGGGCCTAGGAGGAACGTACACCTTTAAGAAGCATATTCCTAATCCACCCTTCCGCTACTATTATGCTAACACTATGGGGCTTGATCCAAATGTTAATCACTACCTCCCACACGACACTGACGAAAGATCATATTTGGAGCCATTCACAAACTTCGCACCTCCAGCTCAAGATGATGTTTTCCTTGCCCTAACGATGCCGGATGTGGGTGTCCTCGGAGAATCCTCTAATAAGACCAATGTCTACGGCAAATGCCTCATAGAACTGTCGTTGGACGTTACGTTCATGACGAAGCCTGTCGGTCACGAACACCTGGAGAAGGCTATACCTCTAATTAAAGCAGATCTGTCTTCAATTAACCAATATTCATACTCGCGTTAATAAATATTGATGTTGTCACATAAAAATTTTGTATTAATGGTATAAGGTTGGAGGAGGGGAAAAAGTCCTAAGTTAAACCACCTCTCTAAACCTCATTCGCCTGGTACTCACCTCTCTGAACGTTTAGGTTTTCACCTCTTCCGCTTCCGGGGGGGTGGGGTGCGTGCGTCACCGTCAGTGCTGGTGCGTGCGTGTGCTCTACGCTGATTGGTTCCGACGGCGCGTCGAGCAGGCTAATCCGGATTTGCGGCCACAATTGTTCCACGACCCTTCATAT